CGCGGTCCCGGGTCTCCCGCGGCAAGGGTTGGCGTTAGCGCCGCTTCCCGCTCCCCCGCCCCGCCGCTGTTGCCAAGCGGCACAACCACGCTAGGCGACCAAAGTGTCCGTCTTCGCAGCCCGGCGGGGTCAGGGATCGCAGCCCTTGACACACCAAGCCGCGTGGTCAGCGCCGCAAGAATTAGAGCCTCCGGTTCGAGGCCTGGTGCACCCTTGCCAGCACCTGGCATCGATGGACACCCCTTTGTGTCGCCGACGCCGGCGCGCTCACCTCGGCCCCCGTGTTGCCTAGCCAGCTGTCGCTGCGGGGCGGATATGTCCGGGACTGGGCAGAAGCTCCGAGCACGGTAGTGACACCCGCGCGCCGAGGGGCCGCGGCCGGGCCGGAGACGGCTCTCGCCTAACCTTCGCTGTCTGGGACCGCAGGCGCCTTCGCTGTCGGGGGACCTCGGCTCCGGGTCGTCAGGGCCTACGGGGTCGCGGCCGTCGGGTGAGGGGCGGCCTGGGGACGCCTGGGAAGGAGGCGGAGAGAGGGCGCAGCGGGGAAGGAGCTGAGATTCCCCGCCCTTGGGCGAGGAGCAGGACGTCGAGCGAGGGCGCACAGCCAGGAGGGCCCGGCCCCGTCACCCCTTCACAGGGCCCCTTCCACGCCTTATTTCGTCTTCCCAGCGCGGGGCTGCTCTCCACCACTTGCTCTTCTCCCTTTCACGCAGGCCTCACTGTCCAGCGGCGGCAGGATCCAGCTAGAAGTATCAATCTAGCTGGGGTTCCTTTGTTTTTAATTTTAGTTATCTCCTATCTAGAGGCTTGTGGAACTCCCCTACGGGGGTTCAAACCCCGGCTCTGCCACCCTCTAGCTGTGTGTGTGTGTGTGTGTGTGTGTGTGTGTGTGCGCGCGTGCGCGCGCGCGTGGGCCTGTAACTTAACCTCTCTATGCTTTAGTTTCCTCCCACTGAATGAAATGATAATGGTAGCAACTACCTGCTGGAAGCGCTAAATGGGAATGCTTAGCTCCCAACAGATGTTAACGATTGCTATTTTTTCATGGCAAGGGATACTGATTTGTGATTTATGCTCTTTATGATATAAAGTTAACTTTTAAAAAAAAGATTTTATTCATTTATTTTTAGAAAGAGGGGACGGGAGGGAGAGAGGGAGAAAAACAGCAATGTGTTGTTGCCTCTCGCGCGCCCCCTACTGGGGACCTGGCCCCACAACCCAGGCATGTGCCCTGACTGGGACTCAAACCGGGGATCTTTGGTTCATAGGCGGGAACTCAAACCAGTGAGCCTCACCATCCAGGGCATAAAGTTAACTTCTAATAAATGGGTTTAAGGTTATTTTTATATAATGCTAAGTGAATAACAGGAACACTAGGCTGAAGAGATGTTGGTCTAAGAAAGGATTCTGCCAGCCTCCAGAGTAAATTTGGAGAATTCAAAGCCCTTGCTCAGGGCCTGGGATTAAACCCATGCAGAAGATAGGATGGAGTCCCCCCCTTCCCACCATTTTCTCAGTTGCCTGAGTCTATGGTTCTGGAACACCCCAGAGAAGGGGGATATGTTACCATCCTTGAATACAGGGAGTAGCCAAGGATGTGGGGGAAACTCGCACTCTCCTTGAAGTAACCTCTCATATCTCAAAATCAATCCTACAAGCCCTGTGGCCTAGCGGTGCCACCTGTAGAGATTTATCCAAGGTACACTTGCACACATGAGGAGCATGTATGTACATGATATGTGTTGCAGAGTTGTGCATAAAGGCAAGGAATTGGACTCAATTCCTATATCCCTCCATAGGGTCCTAGTGTAATAAGCGGTGGCACATCCATGCTAGAAAATACTATGTGGTCAGTGAAAAGGAGCAAGACATTTTCTATATTAATATTTACCTCAATGTTTTAAAACGTTATGTTTAAAAAGATTTTTTTTATTTATTTTTAGACAGAGGGGAATGGAGGAAGAGAGGGAGAGGAACATTAATGTGTAGTTGCCTCTCGCACACGCCCAGCTGGGGACCTGGCCCACAACCCAGGCATGTACCCTGACTGGGAATCGAACTGGTGACTCTTTGGTTAGCAGGCTGGTGCTCAATCCATTGAGCCACACCATCCAGAGCTAAAATGTTATTTTAGAATCACAGAAATGCAGATCAGAGAAGAGGGAGAGTGGGGAGCATGGGGAAAACGGTACAGGGAATAAGAAGCATAAATAGTAAGTACAAAATAGACAGGGGGAGGTTACGAATAGTATAGAAAATGGAGAAGCCAAAGAACATATATGTATGACCCATGGACATGAACTAAGGCAGCGGAATGCTGGTGGGAGGGGATTATAGGGTGGAGGGGAATAAAGGGGAGAAAAAAATAGGACAACTGCAACAGCATAATCAATAAAATAGGTATTTTTTTAAAGAAAGAACAGGTGGTATGGACTGAATTGATTAGGTTTAGATGAGGTCCTGAGGGTGGGGATCCCACGAGGGTATTAATGCCCTTATAAGAAGACACACCAGGACCCTGGCCAGGTGGATCAGTTGGTTGGAGCATTGTCTCCATACACCAAGTGGTCAAGGCACATACCTGGGTTGTTGGGTTCCATCCCTGGTTGGGACACATACGGAAGGCAGACGATCGATGTTACTCCTTCTCTCTCCCCCTTCCTCTCTCTCTAAAATCAATAAATGCATCTTCTAGTGAGGATTTAGAAAAAGAAGAAGAAGAAGAAGAAGATACACCAGAGAACTTCTCGATTTCTTTACAACATGAGAACACACAGCGAGAAGGGGACTGACTTCCAGCCAGGAAGCGAGTCCTCACCAGCACCCAACCATGCTGGTACCCTCACCTTGGATTTTCAGCCTTCACCTGTGAGAAATAAATTTGTACCAGCCACCCAGGCTATGGCAAACTGAGCAGACTAAGGCAGCCAGACAGTCCAAAATCTGTAGATAGGCAACAATTCCCAAGATGAACTATTAAGTGAACAAAGCAAGATGCAGAGCAGCATTGAAACTGTAAAAAGAGAGAAGATATATTTACATTTCAGCTCATTTATTCACAGAATAGCTCTGGAAATTTCCCAGGAATCTCCACCATGGTCATGTCCAAGAAGGGTAACTAGTGCTTTCTGAGTTTTATGAAATGTGAATAAGTGAATAAATCTACCATCACACCTCATTAAGCAACCGAATAATAGGGTGAGCTTCAGGATCCCCTGGAAGATTGAAGGAGCCTGAGGTTAGGGGCACCAGGCCGTGTAGGGAATTGGGTCCAGTCCTGGGAGTGTCCTGGGGCTGTTACCCCAGGCTTGAGTCTGTTTGTATTCCAAGAATTAGGTTGGTTTCCCATGCGTGTGGCCTGTGGGGTGGCCTGAGGCTCCCAGACGGGGTCAGCACCCTCAAAACACATTGCTCTTTGCGGCTGCCTGCAGTTTCAATGTCTCCCGACAGGGGGCGAATCCCAGTCTGAATTCTCTGTCCCCTGCGCCAGCTCCACATCACAGGGGTCAGGAATGCGCCTGGGGACAGCCAGTGATGGTCCGGTGACCGGCCCGTCTGTAGCCTTCTTGGGGCACAAATGAGGCCCTGGTATTGCCCCCAGCCGAGAATGCAGACCCCTCCGGAGGAGCCAGGCACCAGGCCTGCACCGCTGCAGGCGACAGCCTGGGCTAGTGAGCCTGGCTCAGGCACTGGGGCGAGGCAGTCATTGCATTGGAGTTCCCTCACCTGTAGAATGAGGTGAGGAAGCCCACCAAGTAAAGTTGCAGTAAAAGTGAAAGGTGTGTCTTGGGCCTACCAGTGTGAAATGACTGGATGGACCAATAAACTGTAATTGTTCTTTTTCTTTTTTAATTTTTTTAAAAGATTTTTATTTATTTATTATTTTTTAGAGAGGGAAAAGGAGGGAGAGAGAGAGGGAGAGAAACATCAATGTGTGGTTGCATTTCGTGCATCCCCCTGCTGGGGACCTGGCCTGCAACCCAGGCGTGTACTCTACACTGGGAATCGAACCAGCGACCCTTTGGTTCGCAGGCCGGCACTCAATCCACTGAGCCACACCAGCCAGGGCAATGTAATTGTTCTTATTATACTTTTATTTTTTATGAAGGATCTGACACCACTCTCAAAGAAATCCTGTTTCAGCTAAGAATTGGCTGAGTGAGTCTCCCTGAGTCAAATTGTAGGGTGCCTTGTTTGGTGTCCTCTCCTCTAAACTGGAAAGCTGTCCTTGACTCCTTTCTCATTCCCACACTCAATTCCTCAGTAATTCTGCTGTTTCCAAAACTTGTCCAGAATTCACATGGTCTGAGTCCCCATCACTGTTCCCCTAGGCCAGTGCAGTCACAGTCACCTTCATCTTGTACTAGCTACCACATTTACTTCAGAGAACTGTGAACACCTGAACCAAGTCAAGTCCTTCCTTTATCTGGAACCTCCCATGGCTCCCATCTCACTTAGGGCAATAAGGAAGTCCTCCCCTGAGCTCACAAGGGCCCAAGTGTTCTGCCCAGTCATCTCCTTGTGTTTGTTTCCTCCCACTCTTGCCTCCACCACTGCTCCGGTTGCACCCGGATCCTTGCTTTTCACAGAACACATAGGCACGTTTCAGCCTCGGGGCCTTTGCACCTGCTGTTCCTTCACAGAAAATGCTCTTGCTTCAAGTGTTCCCAGGACAATAACATCTCAGCTCACATCACATGTCACCAACTCTGCAGAGAGTCTTCCTCTAACCACCATCACATCATTGTGTTGTCTCTGTAACTATCTCCATTTATTTCTTCACTCCAGTATCTCCTGTGTCCTCACCAGAATGTCAATTCCACAAGGGCAGCGTTTTTTGTCTTTGTTCACTGTTGTGTGGTTTAGCACCAGTAAGGTACCTTCCCAGCGTCTCTTCTCTCTACACCATCTTTGGCTGGTTTTCCTATAAATTCCATCACTTAAAAAGAAAAAGTCTGCAAAACAGCTCTTAGGGAGTGAAAGTGGTGGGCGACAGGGCGTCAGTCTGTGGCTGGTGCGGGTCCCAGGGTCCCAGCGGCTGTAGGTGCGCCAGTAGAGCCACTGAGGTCCAGCCCGTCCTGCTGCGGCGACGAACGCTCAATGGGGCTAGAGCTGCCATCCAGGCCGGGGGGCAGCCAACGGTGCAGGCCGTCCGAAGCCCCAGCATCGCTCCCGGATCGCCGGGAGGCTCTCGGACCTCGGCCGCAGAGGCGGTGGCCGCAGCAGACAAGGCGCAGGAGCGCGTGGCGCAGGTCACGGTTGGTGAGCGTGTATATAATGGGGTTCAGAAGAGAGTTGGCCATGGCCAGGCCCAAGAAGGGGTCGGCCTGCAGGAGCACCGGGCAGGCGCGCGCTGGGCAAGCCACGTCGAGCAAGAGCAGCAGGAAAAGGGGAACCCAACAAACCACAAAGACCAGGAGCACTATGCTGAGAGTGCGCAACAGGGCCAGCGAGCGCGGCGCACAGCGCGCCTGCCTCGAGGGGCCCCCAACAGCCCCTGGGCGCGCCCGGAGGCGCCGCGCGTTGGCGCGCACCTGGCAGTAGATGTGCGCGTAGAGCGCACAGATGGCAGCCAGGATGCCGAGGAAAGCGAGCACGCAGAAGAGCACGTAGGCCTTGGCGTAGAGGGGTAGGACGGTGGAGCAGGAGTCCAGGCGGCCCAGGCAATTCCAGCCCAACGCGGGCAGTAGCCCAAGGAGCAGCGACACGCCCCAGGCGGTGGCCGCCAGCGCCAACGTACGCCCCCGACGTGAGGAGGGCGCCGGTCCCCGGCGCGCCATGGTGAGGCGGCGCTCCAGCGCGATGGCCAGGAGACTCAGCACGGACGCGGTTAGCGCCACAAAGACGCCACCCTCTCGAGCGAACCAGAGCGTAGGCGACAGACGAAGCGTGAGCGGCCCTGACAGAAGGATGTTGGCAGCGTAAGCAGCGCCAGCCAGTAGGTCCGACAATGTGAGGCTGCCCAGGAGCAGGAACATGGGCGCATGGAAGCGCGGATGGCGTCCGAGCACGAACAGCACAGCCAAGTTCTCCAGCACGATGAGCGCGCACACCGCCAGGCACACGACGGCGTCGGCGCGCAGCCCCGCGCCGGGCTGGTAGCGGGCTCCGCGGAGCTTGCCGGTATAGTTGTAGTGCAGGACGATAACCTCGCTCACTGGCGCAGGCCGCAGCAGTCCCGACTCCATGGGCCACCTGCCCCAAGGCTGCGGAGAGGCCCATGCAGTGTTAGGCTGGGCGCACACCGTCCTCACGGCCTGCAGACGCAGGCACGGATCCCAAAGTAGTGGGAAAGGGGCCCTAACCTCCTCCCTTCCACCCCACAGGTACCCTGGAGAGCGAGCGGGGTGGGGGTGGGTGGGGGGGGTGGGGGGGTTCCAGATGGTAGGGGGCTGGCCATGGAGACAGGGGACAGGGTGATACAGTCCTATAGTTCCTGAGGGATACTCATAACTAACACACAAGCAGGGATATTCAGAAGCATATTCAACCATAAACAGACAGAATGCACACAAATACAGCCGCACACAGAAAGGGGCACATAAATACAATGACACATCCACAAGGACATTTAAACACAGCTGCCAACTAGGGCAAAAATACAGTCATCAGGGAAACACAAAAATACATTCACCATGGACAAAGAGACACAAACCCAAGTACATGAGGACCGGATTTCACACCCAGTGACACAGGCCACAGTTTCACAGCCTCCACCCACATCCAGCCTGGAGCCCTGAGCCCCGCAGTCTGCATGTCTTGAATCCTGAGGGGTTTTTTCCTGCACGAACCCCTTCATCCACTGCAAAACCCCATAAGAAAGCTAAGCCTATCTGCCCATTTTCCAGAAGCAGAACCTGAAGGCAACAGACAAGATCCACATCGCATGGATAGGCTTTTGCAAAGGGACACACATGCCATTAAAATTTAATAACACTTCTCTCGGCTTCCCTTGTGACTGCACCCTTTAATCCCCTCAACAACTCCTCCCTTAGTCCCCATTTACAGATGAGCAAACTGAGGCTGAAAAGAAGTAGCTCACAGAGAAGCAGACACAAAGGTTTTCATGCTCCCACACTAACACAGCCATGCAGAAATGGTCGCACAATCACACAGGTCCCACTTAGTAGATGAGAAAACTAAGGCCTGGGGAGGGCAACGGGCTTATTTAGACTTGGCAGGAGCAAATGCATGCCAGACAGCTTCAGTTGCACACAGGGAACAAGGCGCAAACACAGACTCACAGAGTCAGGGAATCTTCCACTCTGGGGGAAGGGGCATCAAATACACGCAGTCATGGGGTGCTCTCGCCCTGATGGGGACTCTGCGTGCGAACAGGCTTTCACCTCTGCACCTCCTGCCTGGTGTTGGCTGGCGTGGCAGCAGTACTCAGGCAGACTTGCAGTGGAGTGGCCCAGAGAGGGCGAGGGCTGAGGATTCCAGGCACCCCCACCCTCAACCCACGCCAGTATCTGGCTGGGGACTCCCTGGTTTTGTCCTCCCTAGAGGCCTCTGGAAAAGGCCCAGGAACGCCAAGCAAGGGGACCCGGGTAATGGACAGGGTAACCTTTCCGGGCCAGACCAAGTCCCCCGCGCCCCAAGGACCCAGTGCTATGCACTCACCCTGCGCCCTGGTCTTGCTCTCGACCCAGTCCTGCAGCCCGGAGCCCAGAGATCAGATGCGATTCTGAGGGCTGGACTGGAGCCTGGAGAGGGGGTGGAGAGTAGCGCTGGGTGGGTCCCTAAAGCTCAGGTCCCGAGAAGCAAGCAATTGCCCCGCCTTATGGGTTGTGGCTCCCAGCCCCTAGCTGCCAGCTTGTGCCACCCGCCGCAGCACTGGAGCGCAACCTGGTGGCGACTGGCACCGGGGAGCCCTCGGCTGCCCCCTCCAGAACTGGGCTGCTCTCTCTGGGATGCTCCGTCGCGGTGGGAGGACCCAGAGACCCTGGAAGGGGAGGGTTCTTACCAGGGGGTGGCAGGACCCCAAGCCTCTCCTCCCAAACCCCCAACAGAGGGAACCTGTCTGGTCTATTCTTGGCCTTCTGGGCACTGACCCCTTCCACTTTCCACTTACCTTCAACTGACCCTCCTGGGCTCCACCACAAGGACGCCGGGTCGGGCAGAGGGAACACATCAACGCAGGTTAGGAAGGGCCTTCCGCAGGGGCGGCCACAGTCTGAGTCCTCTTCACTTAGCGGATAGGTTCCAGCCTGTCCTGATATCCCAGCTCCCGCGCCAGGTGTGAGGCAGCAGGGGGAGGGCAAGGTGCAGGCGGGATTCTGCTGGGAGTTTCTGCCCCACCTCCTAGATGAGGAAGATCTGGATCGCGTGCCCCCTTGGTTACCCCTTATTGCTCCAGAGGATGGTATTTACTCATCTATGGTGTTTCTGGGCTGAGTTCCCGCTAAACTGTCAGCACAACAGGGGTGAGGATTTTCATCTGTCGTGGCCATTGCCAGGACAAAGCCGGTGCCCGATAAGTATCCCCTGAGTGGGCGGGCAAATGAATCCGAAAGTGAAAGTCTCCCTCATTTTCTCTGTCTCTCATCTCTTTTCTCTGAGTCTCCATCTCTGATTCTCCCTGACTATTTGTGTGTGGCTTTGTCTGTGTCACTTTCCCACGCCTCTTTCAGGCCGCCCTTCCTCCTGCGGGCCAGTCCCAGCTGGCCCTGCACCCCTCTACCCCCCAGTTCCCAGGAACTTCCCAACTAGGCCCAGCTCCCTCACCCTCACACAGCCCAGAAGAGGGGCTGGGCCTGGCTGCCCAGCTTCCTGTTGCTTGGGTGGCCTCAGCCTCAGCCAGCTGAGGGTAGGGGGAGGGTGCCCCAGGGGTCGTGAGTGAGAAGCTGGGACTGGTGTGGATCTTGGATGCCCTCCCACAGGGGAGGGACCAAGAGGGACTCAGATCAGGTTGCACAACTCTTCCCTTAGTCCCCATTTACAGATGAGCAAACTGAGGCTGAAAAGAAGTAGCTCGCAGAGAAGCAGACACAAAGGTTTTCATGCTCCCACACTAACACAGCCATGCAGAAATGGTTGCACAATCACACAGGTCCCACTTAGTAGATGCAGACCCCTACCAGCTCCTGTCCCTGCTGTTCTTCGAGAAGACAATCGCTCCTGCTTGCTCTGAACAATTGAAGCTCTCGAGGCAGCACAGCCAGTGGGGGCCAATGGTGGGCAGTGGCGGGGGGGGGGCAGCGCGGAGGCGGTAAAGATTGTGTGCCGCGGGCGCCCCACAGCAGTGAGGACCAACTCAGATCACACCCCTCTGCTGCTCCAAATTCTACCATCGTTCCCTATGATTCTCTTAGTCAATGGAGCCCTGAAGAATCCCTACACTGGACAGACGCATGTCCCTCACCCCCACCCCCACCCCTGCACACAGCAGGCGCTCCATAAATGACCCCTTCTGCAAAGGGAAGCCACACCCATGGGTTCTTCACACCTCCCAAGTGGCAATCTCACCTCCTACAGCCCCCTAAGCAGGGGAGGGAGACTCTTCCGGCAGGGTCCCAGCCCAGCAGCTGCCACTCCTGCGACCTCCAGGTGTCTCCTTCCCATAGACAGGGACACAAGGGGCTCAGGCTCTAGAGACTGGGGCAGACGTCAGAAGCCTCCTGGACGCCTCTGTGCCTCCATCCCGCAGCCACAGTTCTTATAACTCAGATCACACCCCTCTCCTGCTCCAAACTCTACCACGGTTCCCTGTGGCCTTCTTAGTCAGAGCCCAAGTCCTCCTCGGGGCCCGCGAGGTCCAGCACAGCCTCTCCTTGGTGCTGCTCTCCTCTCTGGCTGCCTTACTCCCTCCCAGCCCCACCAGCATCCTCCCTGTTCCTCACGCACTTCAAGACCTTGGCACTTGGGAATTAGTCTGTCTGTAACACCCTTCTTCCAGCCTTTCCCAGCTGGTCACCTCCTTCAGAGAGGCCTGCCTTGATCCGTCTCCCTCCTCCGCAACCTCACATGGCAGCCTGCACCATCTGACATCGCCTTGATTATTTATTTATTTATTCTTCTGGCCTGTTGTATGTCTCTGCCCCAGACCCCCAGCTCCAGGAAGGCAGGAACCCTGTCTGTCCATCTGCCCAGCCCTCATGGAAATGTTAAGGGTTGGGGTTTTGGAGCCAGACTCCGTTGAATTGCTGCCCCTCTGAGCCTTGGTGGCCTCATCTGTAAAATGGCGGTAATAGCTGCCTGCTCTGACAGATGTTGTTGAGGATGAAAGCAACCATTTAAACAGAGCTGAGACATGCAGTGAGAGCCCCATAAAAACGTTAGCTTGGGTACTATTGCTCACTACTGTATCCCAGTGGAGGCATTAGGAGGGATCTCAGCTCAGCCCCCACCAAGGACCCCAGGAGCCACCAGCTCCCCACCCCACCCCCACCGCAGCAAAGCCTGGTCTCTTCTCAGGGAAGAGCACCCCTGGTCTCTGAAATCCTGCCACAACCCACCCGTCTAATGCTTGCCTGGGCCGGCACACCTGCCTGGCCGGTTCTGCTGCCAGGGCCTCGCCTACGGGGCCCACCTCACCCCGCCTTCACCCGTCCTCACTGAGCCGTGCCTGCCCCTCTGAAAGAAACCAACGTGTCCTTCCACAGGTGAGTGGATAAATTGTGGTACATCTATCCAGACAATGGAATAGTTATGTAGTCAGCACTGAAAAGAAATGAGCTTGCAAGCCATGAAAAGACATGGAGGAACCTTAAATGTATATTGCTAAATGCATACACACCATATGATTCTGATTCTGGAAACGGCAAAACTAGGCAGACAGTAAAAAGATCAAGGGTTGGCGGGGTTAGGTGGCAGGGAGGGATGAATAGGCAGAGCTCATGGGACTTTTAGGGCCATGAAACTACTCTGTATGATACTGTAATGGTAGATATATGCCATTATACATTTGTTCAAACCCACAGCATGTACAACACCAAGAGCAAATGCTACTGTGGACTCTGGGTGATGATGTATCAATGTAGCTTCATCGATGGTACCAAATGCACCACTGCGGTGTGGGCTGTCCATAGTGGGGCAGGTTCAGGGGGCAGATATGGGAAATCTCTGTACTTTTCACTCAATTTGACCATGAATCTAAAACTACTTTAAAAGTACAGTGTATTATTTTTTTTTAATGTAAAAACATCGGCCTGAGAGGCCCTAGAGTGGACAGACACTCTCACACCAT